AGAAATGAAACCATTGAGCATATCTTTATGCAATGCCCGGTGGCCCTACCCGGTGGCCCTACTGACGTGGCGGTGGTGGGACCGCATTTGGAGGAAAACAGTACCAGACACCCCTTGGCCATGGTCTTGGCAAGCCATATTGACAGGACATTGCCCATCGCTGGAAAGCGCTCCCGCCTACGTCTGCAACCTGTTCAGCCCCGGTAGACGATCTGTCCTATGGGCGCTTTGGTGGCAGCGCTGCCTTCTAGTTTTGGAGGGAGTTAAAATTGAGGCCCCGAATTAACAGGACAAATAAGGGAGCTGGTACAATTGGAGCTGGGGCGTAGATGGAGAGATCTCAAGCCACAGTTAGACATTTACCAGACAAACCAGGATATTAAGTGGGCAATCACCGATTCTGGTAGGGATTGGCTAGGGGGGGACAGGGGCGGATGGATGGCTAGAATTGAGTGGACAGGGGATCAGGCCGCCATAACAGAACACGAAATCCCGAGAGACTACAGGCTTGTTTTCAACGACTGGACTCAAATTGATCCGTCTTTTCCGTTGAGACCCCCGTCTGATTTCCCGGACCCGATTCTTCCTCACCCCCTGGCCCTGATGGAAGTCTTTACCTAACACTGAATCAGATAAGGATAACATAAGCCTCCCTGGTGGCCCCTGGGTAGTGCTTATCAAATGCCCACTTTCTTCACAAGATACATCACCTGCTCAGTCAATCCCCTGGAAATCAGGGTAATCAATGCTGGCAGGCTGGTAGTTGTCTGACTGAACGGCAGGCGTTCTGGTGCCCATTTCTCAGCAACCTGCACAGTCAATCCTCTGGACGCCAGAGTAATCAATGCTGGCAGGCTAGTTCTCAACTATTTCTCAACCCTTTGTCTTGGTATCTTCTTGATTCACTCTGTATAAGGGACGCTCCGTTTTCCAGCAGGTGACGCTCCCCACCAATAGATGGAGCCTTTTCAAAAAAAAAAAAAAAAAAAGAGATTCCTGCAGTCTCTGAGAATATGCTGTTGTTTTGGTTTAGGGGGCTTAGGGATTCCAAGTATGAGTCTGTTCTATTCAATCTATTGTTGTGATCTGCTGTGATTTCTAAGCGTGTGTGGGACCTACTACCAACGTGCAGGTGCCGTACGCTTGCCTGGTCCAAGTCTGGGTCCATGCACTAACTCTGTTGACTGTGTGTGTGTGTGTTGACTGTGTGTGTGTGGGGCTGCGCCTCGGACAGGGACAACATAGGAGTAGAGAGAGGGCCAGGGGCAGGACGGAAATTAGCAGTAGATTCTGTTGGGGGGTAGTTTTAGCGCCAGGGCAAAGGTAGGATTCGCCAGGGGCCCAGTAGGATTTTCCAGCGACTCAGGCAGCCCGCAGTCCAGTAGCAGCTAAAGAGTCACAAGTGTTCAGGCCCATACCTAGTAGGTTCCTGTTTTTTTCTGGGTTTTTTTTTTTCACCTAGTAGGTTCCTAGAGTAGATACGGGCTGAATTGCAGGCTGAAATCAAGTTCCCGACAAAACCAGGATATCCAGTATGCCTAGTGCGGCCAGGTAGTGTTGGGTAGTGCATGGCCAGGAGGCACAGGAGGCTGGGAAGCCAAAGTATATGAGCGGGTCTAGAGTGTAGAGCAACACGCTTAGGTTCATTCTTCAAGTGCTCCTCCCAGAGGGTGATGTTGGCGGAGCACTTGGAGGAGGAGATGGAGCTGGAGGCTGATGGTTAAGACCACTATGGCCCTGTCCAGTTGATGTAGCTCAGTGGTTAGAGCACCGGTTGGAAATGTGCACTGTGGTATAAGGTTTCAAAACTCCGCAGCCTTGCGCATGGACACCGGCAGGGCGTTAGAGTGACGCACGGCTGGACATAAATCCCCTTGGGCTGACGCATGGTACTATTACAGACACTGCCTGCACACCACCCAAGGGGTAGTCCTGGTTGTTGTATGCTGGGTCTTGACTATGCGTGGGTTGCTTGACGTAGCTATTGATTGTTCTGAAATTCTCCCCTGTTCTGGCATTCCATACATTGGCATCAATTCAGAACACAGCACATAAGATAGGGCATCGTAGTTACACAACACAGGGTGTGGGTTCGAGTCTGGCTAGAGACTTTGGGGCGGTTTCTTGCACAGACCGGCCCACCATTCATATGACAATACAACCCTACACATATATACAGAACTTAATTGGGGCTTGGTGGGGGTTCGCACTACTGCTGGGGTTGGCTGGGATCAAGGCTTCGTGCTTGTCCCTGTTCAGCCTCAGTATCTAGAACCATGGCATATACACATACACGACTGGGGGTAGGCTGGGGTTTTCAAGGCTTCGCGCTTGTCCTTGCCTGGCCTCGGTATCGAGATCCATGGATAACACACAGATAGCACGTACACACATGACTGGGGCTGGCTGGGGCTCAAGGCTTCGCGCTTGGCCCTGTCCAGCCTCAGTATCTGACATCTGTAGAAAGGAGAAACATGCCAGGACACATATATAGTATACACATGCCAGAATGGGGTTGGTAGGAGAAGCAGACATAATACTAGAGCCTGGCGCCCGATGTACCCGAGTAACGTGGCTTGCTTGACTGTGCCTCAACTGGGGCTGGGAGGGGCTCAAGGCTTCGCACTTGGTCCAGCCTAGCCCCGGTGCCTAGAACTACTGTCTGGTCCAAGTCGCCCTCTGAAATACCATGGTGATAGTCCTGAGTAGTAATACTGAGGTAGGATGGTAGGGATAGGGGTGCGCTAGG